CAAAAGAGCAGTCTTCTCGTTACTTAATTTTGACCAAGAAAATAAATGCCTTTGATGCAAACTACAAACCCCCCCACAATTCATAAATATGTGGAATAATTATTTGCTCAGGAAGTAGTTCTAATCTAATTTATTGCATCTTTATGGATTGTTAGACCAACTTCTTATTTGCAGCTTGTCGAAACAGCAGCAAATTATCACAAACCTAACAGTAAATGCTGCACCATAAAGTAAATATTTATCTAATTTGGGATTCTGTACATCTTAAGGAGCATGATGGCTTACTTTTCTTGTGTCAGAAGCAAATAACAACCTGCATTATTTCTCTTAGTTTTACAGACTAAAGGGGCATCACTATCAGTCAAGCAATTCTAAGAGCTGCTGTTACCACTTAAGATTATTATTGTAATACATGACTCTCTTTTATGTTTCACTAGAGAGATCAAGGCAATCCTTTATGAAGAACCAAAACCCAGTACAGTAACTGCAGGCAAGCAGGATTACAACTGCCTTGAAATCATAAGAAATCATGGTGGCTGATGCATTAAAACTTGATTGACCCATAATTTCCTTATGTCCTTTCATAAAATGAAATGGTACTGTAATGGCTGTTGGCCATGCTTCACATTGACCTGTCTTTCTTGTCAGTCCCTCTTTCACTGCAGCCACCCGTGACCTGGGTTCCGGGTGCCTTGGAGTACATTCTTGCTGAACTTTGGACATGTTGGTTGGGGCTGGAGGGAGATGCAGACCAATCTGTCTGGAAGGTCTGGGAACTGATGAACCAGAGAAGTTTGAAATCACGAGGGTTCGCCAAACATCTCTGCCTTTCATCCCGTGCCCACTACTCACTCTGTGCAAACAGGAAAAGTGCACAACTCAATCAGTGATCGAAACTGAAATTTGTGCAAATTTGTCCAACTTTCATCCAGGGACCAATACAGGCCTGATTCAATCTATGGGAGCAATTTGTTCAAATCCAGAAATTTCTGAAAAGTCAAACTGGGAAAGTTTCATAAATTGAATGTGTGTACATGTTTGGCAACTGGCAAATATTTTTGGTGTGTATGTGCTTATGCTTATGATTGGTGATTCAAACAGGTCGTGCTTGCCTGTTTTGCAAGCGATAAGAAATTTATTATACATCTATACCTCTTCAAATGGTACAATGAGGATCCCAGCTCATGAAAATGTATCATATTGATAAATGTATATTTCAAAATATATATTTAAAGGGAACGTGTTGAAAAATGCATGTTTCAATGTAAATCTTTATGCAGATGTTGTTTGTGCTTAATCGAATATTAATTCAGAAGCAGGAAGAGATGGACTTAAGAATGAACACTCGAGAGAATGCCAAATATTGCAAATATTGGATCTGTCCATCCCAAGTGCTAAATCTCCTGCAAGTTCTTTCTACTCACTTCCCACACAACTGTGCCTCATTTTATAAACCACATTCCTCTCCCCTTGCCCTATTCTGCTCCCTCTGGACTGGTATGGATTTATGTCAGATCCTGCTAGAGCCACATACTTTTTGAGCGCGTGAATCATGACCAGCAGGTGAAGCACTGGTGTTGTACGATGCCTCGCCTGTGCGGTGGCAAAGAGAAAAAGGGTGTTCCACCTTTCACCGTAAAACTGGCACTACCAAAGTCAATGTATGGCTGGAAGTTAAGATGCAATCCTAAGCATGTTTAGCAGAGAAGGGGCCTACAATTCCCAGCATTCCCCTGCCAGCCACCATCAAGTTTGCATGCCTAAAAGGAAGAGGTCGACCTTCTACAATAAAGAGTAGGTTTAGTACTCCTTCGTTAGAATATATAGACTTGGTCTTTGCCATGCAGGTAGCAGTTATCAAAGTGGGTGACATGGATAGTCTGTTAATAATATTAATTGTTATTCTTAAGGGAAAAAATCTCGAGAAATTGATCCCGTACAGCAAATCTGCTAAAAAGAACAAACCCTGCCTACAGGTTTGGAATTGAGAGATTAGATGATGGTGAAGAGACAATCAAAATGTAAACAATTAAAAAGTAAGAGAGGCAGGGGTGAAAGGCTTGGGAGAAAATAGATGCTGTAACCAAGCAAAACAATAAAAATACCTAAAAACGAAAAGTGTGTGTCTTTAAGCAGCCATTCCACAAACCAAATGTCGGCCTCTCTGATTTAGCTGGTCAATTTAAATATGTTGACAGTTTGCAGTCCCACATACTGCATTTGGGCTTTTTCTTTTTCTTTTTTTAATTTTCAGGCGACAAGTCAAATAAATGCAGAACCTAGTTTTCCTCCCATCCCTGTAAGGCATTGCTCATCAGCCTGCGATCTATATAAAAGCGTTCTGATTTTGGTTTACTTTGAGGGCACACCAGATGGAAGGCACGGTACTGTGGGATCTGCCATTTATCACAGTGACAGTGCGTGGGTAGCAGCGGTCCTTGCACCACAGGGGGAAGGCAGGGATGCAACTGCAGAGCACGGGAATCAAAACGCTGCACTCGGTAGAATCTGGCAACACTTGTGCTGCTCATTAACTTAATCCTATTAATTTATTAGCCATATACATCAAAGCAATTTGCCACAAAATTGTCACTATTTACAACTCTTCACTTCCTCTGTGCAGAGGGAGAGGAAAGCAAGCATTCCAATGTACACTCTGCTTCACGTGTTAATAGATGCTTTTGTGTCTGAATACTCATCTTCCCCACCATGGTGCCCTTCATGCTGGCTGGGAACAATGGAAATTGCAGGCCAACACAGTTGCTGGGCAGCAGGTTTGGGAGGGCCAGAAGAGGCAACTTGACATGTTGTGGCCGCCGTGTGAAGGGGCTTCATTTTTGTGTTGTATCCAAAAATATACTTTCAGGGCACTGAACCTCTTCCAGCTGAATACCATTTCCAGATGGTTATTCGGAGCCACATTACAGGAGTGGGAGCGGTTGGTCACAATGCAAAGGGAGCGGGGCCCAATTGCCTGAATATTTTTACATAAAGTTCTTACTAGAGATCTTGCAAGGATCTGCAATGGATTAAGTGTGAATTTCTAAGCCACGGATTCAGCAGCAGACTGGTTCTTCTCAAGCTGTATAGGTTCTGTGGACTTCTGGGCCATTCTTTTTAAAAACTGTTTTCCAAACTTTTGCACAGAACATAAAAACAGAACAGAAACCAGTGAAAAATCGGCATTTCTCCCATATGGAGCTATAGGTCTCAGCAGTAACTGACCTAAGGCCTTTAGCTCTGCGCTGAGACAACATCCTCCTATTGCTCCAACAGGAAAGAACTGAGATCCGCAGGCCCCATCTGGAGCTATCCAAGTCCTCGTTTCTTGCAGCCTTGTCGGACTTCCCCACCTTCCATCTTATATTCAGTGTGCTTTCTTTGCTATGGGAGTGAGGCGAGCTGCTGCATGAGAAGGCTGGGAAGAAATGTTACCTGCCTATGTGGTTCATCGGTGCATTGACAAGGCATGGAGTATAAGCTGCAGTTGGCTATATCGTTTCACTGCCTTTGCTCTCTGCTGCCATGAGTTCAATGCAGGCCCTGCTGGCATTTGTCCGGTGGCATTTTTGCCTTTGCCCATCACTGGATTGTGGCACTGTGAGCGCTTATCTGGAATGAAGTGGGGCCCTCAAAATCAAGGAAAATGCTCACGCTTGCCATAAGGGATCCTGAAGAAGTGCTACAAGCTTGCAGTGCGGACTGGCATGGACGTTTGCAGAAGAAGCCCATCTGTATGGTTGAGACTCAGGTGGCTCCAAGACCAGGGGGCACATCAACCGACATGATGAGTCGCGGCTGCTCAGCCTTCCTGCAGCAGGGGAAGCTCAGTGGCAGGCCATGTGCCTCCTACCAAAATGGGCCCTGGAGTCAAATCCCAGCGTTCCCATGACTGGGCTCGATGAAACAGCGGTCAGACTCAGTACCAGTCAGCTTCCCATGTTGGAGAGTCTTTTCGGTGGTGGCACCCCCGTTACGGAACACTCTACCATCAGGGAATTGTCAGGTGCCTACCTTGCTGAGCTTTCTGCGCCTGACAAAAATGTTCCTCTTTTGGCACACCGATGACACCACTTAGATCATTTCTATGAATTTGCACTCATATATATTTATATATATGGAATTTTATATTAATAATTTTATATTTGAAATATAAAATTATATATTTTATATATTGTAAATATAAAATATAACACATTATTATATATGATATAATATATTATAACATATTATGAATTATATTGTATATTATATATATAGAGTGAGTTTTATTTTATACATACAAGTTTTATTTTATTTGAGTACATATATGCAACTTTATCCTGTTTATTTATTATGATATTTTAACTGTATCATATTATTGATGCTGCTTCAGTACTTTTATTGTAATGGCCACCTGGACAGCGTGACGCTATTGGGCAGCTTCCAAACAAGTTCAATAAAGAAACGCCCAAATCCTGGACTTATACAAGGTTGGCTTCTGTGGGCTGTAACCAGCGATCATTTATAAGCTGTGGCCATCAGGGCCACTTCTCTTACAGGCAATGCCTCATTTCTGCCCCCACCCCAACTTTCACAACCCCATCACTGTCGGATACGAAAGAGCTCAGAACGTTCTCTCTGCTAGTTCCCACTGAGAGCCTCCGTATGGGAAGAAGGCCGGCTCGCGGGTACCGGTCATTCAGAGAGAGAATGCTTGCCTACCAGCCCTCTCCGTTTCCCCCAGCATCATATAGCCAAGCATCTAATGGCACTTTCCCTTTAAGGAAATTACGATTAATGAAGAACTAAATCGCAAATCCATTAGGTTTTAGTCAGCACAGCAACACTGCGTGGTGGGGGGGCGGGGGGAGGTCATGAATGCTCAAAAAATCCGATAACATAACCTCTGGTAAAGCTTGAAAAGCCCTGAAGGACAAGGCAGTTAGATCAATATTAGTTTATTTCAACTGCTATGGAGTATGAAGAAACACAGCCAATCATCCGATGGATTTTATTACCTGTTGGGGAGATAAGTCCTTGTGATAACAGGCCCGGCATTCCGTGGGGCAGGAGACGTGTGTTCTCTTGTATCGCAACCCCCAGAGATCGCTTGGGGGGCCTCCCTGGTCGTGAACTGTTGAAACAAAAGTGAAAATAAACTTTAAGTGCTCCTTTGTCAAAAGGATTTGCATAGTAATGCACTTTGCATTGATTTTTAGGGCCCTGAATGGTGGCATAAGGCCTTGGTCGTACTCCAAGCCTTCTCCAAGATTTTAACTCTTGCTGTTCTGATTATCCAGGAACCCTGCCACCATGTCCTCACACAGCAGTGGATTATCTGCTTTTCTAAATGTTTGCCAAGGAGAGGAATAATTGCAAAAAATAATCTCTGAGAGCAAAAACAAGGCAACATACCCATCCCAAGGGTGCTGTTCTGAGCCTCATTATCCCCCTTTGAACTTACAAACCACAGACTATTCTTTGGCAAAAGCTCTTTATTCTCTAATGCACGTCCTGTAAGCCACAACCAACCAAGAATGAGTCTGAGCATGTACAGTTCATTGGACCCAATCTAGCAACTACTTCCGAGCATCCTCCTTCTCACTCCCCCTGGGACCTCTCCCTCTGGGATGTCCTTTTTTGGAGACAGGCAAGCTTTCTCTCTGTCCACTGCCCCTCTAGTTGGTTGGTCCATCTCTTCTACCATCACCTTGTGGGACCAAGAGTCATGCCAGGCTCGGCTGGCTGCAGAAGTCCTCCTCCCATGCCCCCTTCTTTGTAGCAGTAAACCCTGGCTATTCTCAATGTCCACTTGATCTGGGGAGGGTGCCCTTGAGGTAAGTCCCTCTGCTTCTTCCATTTCTGGTTCCCAGCGTGCCTCCTCATCTGACAACTCCGAATCTGCCTGGCCTTAGAATGTGCATCAAGAACAACCACCCCTTTTATTCCCAGGAGGGGCAAGACCTTGGGTTGCAATCCAGCCCTCAAACCATCCCCAGAAGCCGTGCCCTTTCCCACTAGCTTTCCGCCAACTACTGACTGCCTGATGGTTTCCCACTGAGCGGATGGGAGGAGTGGGTTGCGAACCAGCTGGCCCTTCTAACTTTTTCTGGGTACACAAATGAACTGAGAAGAAATTCCAGCCTGGAAGATTGCATGAAGAAGGTGCATCTCAACAAACATTGGAGCTAATCTACTGCAGAACCTATTTTTGTGACTGCCTTCTGTACAATGCACTCAGGGTTCAACTACAACCATGGCATCATGGCCAAGCTCAGGCGCACACCCTGGAAGGAAACTTGGGCAGCTTTTCTAGAGGGGACCATCCTCCTACTCCCCTTCTGCTCCCGTCCACTTCTGAGATCTTTTAAAGAGCAATATACCATACAGTCTGTTCCCCAAGCGACTACAGCAATTCATTTTTTTGACTTCTCAGCCAGTTTCCCTTCCTCACAGACTGGTGGGAACTGGTTACATATCAGGAATCCATAAAAGAACTTAAGAAAAGCCATCAAGCCTGGTATTCGGTCCACACAGAGGCACTTCAGACTTTCAGAAAACCATCGGACAGTTAAGCAATTGGGGAAAATAAGTAAAGGCAGAGAGTGGAGTCATGGCCACCTGAAAGACCAGATTGGGACTGCTTGCTAGGCCACGTTTGGCCCATGGCCTCAAGGTTCTAGGTGTATTAAGGGGCCCAGTATCTTTCCAGAAAAGTTAGGTTTTGTAGGGCGGGAAGGAAACGAAGGGAACCGATAGCGCAGTTTCTGGCATAAGCAGCAGCAAGAGAAATGCGTAGCATCATTTCAGGGAGCAGGACGCTTTTGGGCAACTATGGGTGGCTGAGCAGACATTCACTTGGAAGATTTGTGGAGTGTCCTGGAGAGTTCTTCTAATTCTCCTGCACCTGTCACACTTTTCCCAGGGAGTTTCCTCCACATTTTCCCTTCTCTCACAATTTTCCTTTTGCCTCAGCCTGCCGCTGCACTCCTAACTTCTGTACTATCTTAACGGCTGCAGTTCCACCACTCTTCCAAAAGCTCTTCACCTTCTCTTATTCTCTCGAGGGTGGACACTCGCTGCTCTAGCGCGCTCACCTTTCCTTCAGACAGGGCTACGGGCTCACACTTGTTGCATGTGCAAGGCATGTTGATCTCAGGCAAGAAGAGAAACTTTCACAAATGCTGCAGGTCACCGTCACTGGGAAGTCTTCTCAGTCAGCCACCTTTGTGCCTGTTGTAACAACCGGTGCTTTCTCCTTCCTTCCCCGAAGATTGACAACACAGTCCTACCAGTAAATGGGAGGGGGTTACGAGAAATAAAACAAAGGGGGGGGGAACTCGGGAGGGGAGTAAAAAAAAGGTTAGGGACCTCCCACACTGAAGTCTGCCACCTGCTAGCCCTCCCTGTGCACTCTCTCTGATCATTCGCTCCCTGGGAGCTTGGCTGCTTGATTCCCAGAGTTGCTACACCAGCTGGGGCAGCTTGCTCTGGTCTGCCCAGCTAAGAGTTGGGAAACAGAATGGCTTATCAAACAATAGGAGGCAGGATGGTACTATTCAGGAAGTGGTACCATCCTCTTTAAGAGAGGAAGTCACACCTTCTTCTTCAAAAGCACGGAGTGGCAAAGTCACTGTTGATTAAAACCACCCTAAGACAGTGGTCTGCCATTCTGGGGTTAAACTAAAAATGCATCTGGAAGATACAGATTTCCAAGATCTTTTTCAATCTGAGATTTGCTCTGGTGTTGAGAGTGAAACTGTTGGCTGTCCTGATGGATGCTCGAGAGAGTGTAATCCTGTTCAGAATACTGGTCTCCATATTGGCTTCCAAACTCCATCAGCCGTATCATTCTTCTGGACCAACTGTCAGGTATGAAGATTAAAGTCTTCTCAAGTACAGCATTTGTCTTCTGGAACTACTTCCCAAGAGAGGCTCTTGCAGTCCATTTCCTGTTCTCCGTGAGAAGGTTAGTATACACATTATTAAGGATCTCTGCGGAAGGTCTCATTTGGCTTTTTTATGGCTATTGTGTGAAAACCATCACTGCATGTTCACACAGTGGGATGTTCCCCTCTTTTCCTCACCTGTTTGTCTCCCACAAATCTGCTCCAGAAAATTCCCAACCTTCCAAGACAACTCTGAAGGTATGGGGTAGAACCTGCAGGGTGGGTTAGGAATTATTCCGTTCTCCTAGTGAAAAATGCTCTGTCAATGAGATGGACTAACTCAGGGGTCTCAAACTCGCGGCCCGCGGGCCAATTGCCAGGACAGGCGGGGCATGGGGGGGGGGGACCCTGCAGCCTTCAAAGCGCCGGTGGGCCCGGGCCAGCCGCAGGATGAGCGGCCTACCACTACAGCAGTGGTGGAATACTTGATGTGGCCCAGCCTCACCCAGACTCTCCTTCCAGCAGCCCCCAGTTGAGTTGAGTTTGAGACCCCTGGGCTAACTGGATAATACCCCATATTACTTGTGTTGATTCTCATTTTCATGAAGATTAGTCTTCTCTTGTAACTGGTCCTAAGCTTTGCATTAGAGATTTGTGCATAGTGTTATATTTTTGATGTTCTGCCATAAGGTGCCTTGGGTGCTTGGGAAAGAGGCAGGCCAAAAGAACAAATGTACCTACTATGCCCAGACTGTTACTTAGGTAGAGCACCTGGTTCAATGAAAAACCTTCTGGATGATGAAGAAAGTGCTCCAAAATTAACTGGGCAACCCATTTACTAAATATAGTATTATTTAAAAGAAAACATACAAAAACCGTATGGGAATGCATTTTCTAAGGTATGGGGTGTGACGTGAATGTTATACATCATCTGAATGCTTGCAACACGTGCTCATTTCTTCAGTATTAGTTTGTTCATATGCAGATTTAATTGACTAATTTGATTTAATTAACTAAGGGCGCCATCAAACGTGGCTACCTGAAACCCTCCAAACTCAGAGGATACTAGTCATAGAATCCTTGGAAGGGGTCCAGAAGGCCATTGGGCCCAACCCCTTGCTCAATGCAGAACTTCAAGTCCTCTCAGATGGCTGTCCAGTTGCATCTTGAATGCCTCCAGTGTGGGAGAGCCAACAACCTCTCCAGGTAACCAGTACCATTGTATTGCTCTAAGAGTCAGGAAGTTTTTCCTGACATCCAATCAGAACCTGGCTTCCTGTAGCCTGAGCCCATTATTCTGTGTACTGCACTCTGGAATGATTGAGAAGAGATCCTAGCCTTCCTCTTTGTGACAGCCTTTCAAGTACTTGAAAACTGCTATCATATCTCCCCTCAGTCTTCTTTTCTCAAAGTTCAAGCTGTGGCAACCCAGATTCAGGCTGCACATCAGGAAAAGCTTCCTCGCTGTCAGAGCAATACAGCAGTAGAACCAGCTGCCTGGAGAGGTGGTGGCTCTCCCACACTACAGACATTCAAAAAGAAACTGGACAGCCATCTGAGTGGGACAGTGTAACATGGTGTCCTGTAACAGCAGGGTGTTGGACTTGATGACCTTCAAGGCCCCTTCCAACTCTTCTATTCTATGAAGCTAAACATGCCCATTCCTTTCTATTTCTCCTCACAGGGTTTTGTTTCCAGTCTCCAGATCATCCTTGTTGCCTTCCTCTGAACCCTTTCCAGCTTTCTGCTTCTTTCTTAAACTCAATAGGAACCCATTATCCCCAGATGAGCAAGAGACCTTTTGGACAAACTTTCCATTATACAACCAACCAGCAACAACAAATGAAAGGTCTATCACAAAACTGACTCCCTGCCTAAAGAAATACTTCCCTTGTTTGAAAAGGAACGAAAGTTAAACTTCACTCCATCAAGTTTGCCGTGGCAACACTCTTTATCAAAAGGATATAAACTAAATGTTTAAATGACAGAAACTTCAGGTTTCATTCCACAGAGGTGCCATTTCATCAGTCTTGCTTCCACAAAATGCATGCATACTATTTGTTTTACCGTGCATCTGTCTCAAGACTCAGACATATACACATCAGGAAATCGTTCTTAGGTTTACTATTTTAGGCTTTCCCCTTTTTATTTAGATTACATTTTCAAGTTCCATAGTAGGAACATTTTTTCTCTTTACTCTGGGGAATCCCATACAGCACCACATGGTGTACAAACCTGCTTTACA